TAAAACAAAATATATTTGCCTTTCAATTGAAATGGTTCCATTTATACTCGTTTTACTAAATAACAAGAACGCCAGAGAACCGGAGAAAACGATGTGAAGGTTTTAGTATATTATTTCACAACATCAATAATAATTATGCCCTCATACGTATGTAAGTATATACACGTAGATAACATTGTGCATTTCAACAACATAGACTTTCGCTTTCTGCATAAAAATAAAATAAGCATTTTTTTTTATTGATTTTTAAATATAACTCATTTGTATTCTGGTATTCCTCGTTTTCTATTTCAACGAAGTACCGCCAGAATTAATGATAATTTAAATGAATCCTTTTATTCGACTTTATATAAATGTTCCACGATTCTAAAACTGTGCATATGAAGGTGAAGACACTTACTTTCTTAAACAAAATATATATAAATGAACGTAAATGAATGAATGAACATGCATTTTTTCAATGTGCCAAATAAATAATAAATACTGCTTAAATGGGGGTAAAACAGAATGGTACACAAGCGCTTCGCCAATCTTACGAGCAACATAACAACATAATAGATATTATCAGTCAATGGTTTAATAAAAATATCAGTAAGTACTGACTTCCAGCTTGGAATCAAGCAATCGCCAGAAAAAGAGCTGGAAAATTAAATCCCCAGGACTCAGGAAATTTGTATGGCAACCTTCCCCTTGAAGTAATTCCCCATACAAAATAAAAATAAAAACAATTGCCTTATTTCATTTGCTTGTAGGTATTTCATTTCCCTGGCTTTCTAACTTCTCCTACCCTACATAGCATTTGTATGTTCTTTGTTATCATAAAACTTGCCTTCCCCCACATTCTGAGTCCCACGCCACGTTCATTTAAGCTTTTCACACTTATGCATCAGCAATTCCATTTGTAATTCGAAACCTTCATTTAAGTTCAATTCAATTATTAACAAGTATTTCATTTCTTTATACCCGTATTTCTATTTTTAGAACCGCTGTCTGAGCAGTTTTTTGCGCTCTTTTATGACATTGCTGCTTACTAATTGAGTGACAGTTCTTTGTTAACTAAGTTTATAACATTAGGGTACTAGAGTTAGTTAGTAACTGCCAGCAGAATGTTTCGTATCTTATGCTATATTTAGACAGGCATGTATTCGAATGTCGTTCTTAAAGTCGCATCGAAATTTTACGTGTTTGCATTTTTATTGCACTGGTTTTCTATACTTTCAAATAAGAATTGTTAATAAGATTTATGCAGAAATATAATAAAACGTTCAAAGATATTACAATGTAGTATTTCTGTTGATTGAAGAAATTTCGATATCATAGTTTTAAGAGAAACGGAATGCATTGTCTCTGAATAAATAACATGTCCTTAAAAAAAGTAAGTTATTGACATTAAAGAAATTTAAAAATTTATTTGGTATTTGATTGCAAGAATAAATAAAAATAGATTTTAGAAACATTTATCAAAACTAGAAGATTTCCAATAGATCATTTGAATATATTTGTAATACTTCACCTTTAAATTATAAATTAAATTATTAAAATTATTAAATTTAAACAAAACAACGCCCCCAACGCAATTTAATAAACTGCCTTTTTTCCGCATCGCAAAAAATCACCATTATGAAAAGCCAGAGAGAGCCGCACATTTCGTGAACGTGACTAAAAATGGATCACGAGGAGTACGTGAGCGTGAAGGAATTTTTGTCACGCCCATTTCATAGTTCCTGCATTAGTGATGGCTTCCATTGATGTGGCCAAAGCATTTTAACTGCAGCGACTGCCCAGAAGCGGCCCCACACATATGGCAGGAAAGAGCATCTACTCGTACCTTTGTATGTTTGTATGTTGTAACTATGAGTTAATACAAACATATGACACACGTTGCATTACATGAGAGTCAGGCACTCCCGTAATGCGCACGCCAACATCATAAACTTGTACATTGTTGAGCGTAAAAAGGGTATAAAGGGCTGCAGGGTCTCGGAGTGTAGACCCTTAAAAAAATACTTCAGACACATATACTCACTAGTACATGAAAATATATACATATGTACAATATATACTATATGTGTGTTTGTTTGGTTTTTCATCTCATCGTTTTGCTGGTACTTGCAACACAAGCGGACATAAATGCCAGGCAATGCCACCAAGCAAAAGGCACAAACAGAGGCAACAGGCAACAGGATGCATATAAATCATTTTAACGCTATAAAAATCCTTAAGGCTGCCACACTGCTGTGAAAGCGTGCATGTGGGAGTGTGTGCGTGTATGTGTGTGTGTGTGTGTGTGTGTTTTTTGGGCACATAAAACATGCAGCGACATCGCAGCAAATCCGTGGCAATAAAATATGCGGCAAATGCGTTGAGGAGCGGGCTTATCTTCATATTACAAACAATGAAAAATTGCTTTTGCACCCTAACTTTTATTCTGTCTTTGCGAAGGGTACATGGCGTTTGGTTTGAAATTATATAGCCAAATTATTATCTATTCTATTCTAATAACTGTCATAAGAACTATCCGTCAATTTAGTAATAATTTTTGTTTTATTCTTACTTGAAAGAATTAGCTGCCATGGAAACAATCAGTCTTAAAACATGTTCGTTTCTACAGATATACAAATTTGTAGGTATGACCATTAGTGTTATAAAATGGTACGCCGATCTGACAGCTATATTATAAAGTTATCATAGGAAGTATCAGTCCATGTATATCATATATGTACATAACTGTTTTAGGAAGAAGCAGACTTAAGATCTTTGTAAGAATAACTTTGCTTATTACACTGATATCGAAACCAAATAAGGAATCGGGAAATTTATTGATGCAGGCAATAAGGTTGCAAAGTTCTAATTAGTTTGGGTTAACATACTATAATGCTAATATCACTCCAATGTGCAAATTCTTTTAAAACCCTTTAATAATTACTTTTTCTCAAGCCAGGAAAACTACTCTGTTTATATGTTAGTGAAAAGCGTAGAAATACGCGTACGCGAGGGTATATAGTATAGGCTTTGGCCAACGTATAAACATGATTTTACGCTAATATCATTAAGTTGGTTGTCTTGTTAAAGCGCTTTAAATTGAGTTATATGACTTAATAAGAGCCTTGCAGGAGGCTACAGCACACTGACAAAGGCAGGCAAGTTATGCAGCTTTCACACCCCCTTCATTCGGTTAGAAGGCGAGCGATCGAAGAAAGAATGCAAAATATGTCCAGCATTAAGGCCAATTGCAGCAGCCTGCATGCTGCAGGGGAGAAGGGACAAGAGAGAGGGAGAGCAACTAAATGGTAACCACAATGCCAACAGACAGCATCCAGCAAACCAATGGCCACAACATCAAGCCACCGAGTTGCACGCAGTGATTGAATTTGACTTGATGTGGTTGCCATCGAGGTGCTCGTGACAGCAGAGTGGAACAAGAAGGGAGGCAGGGTGCGCCTGCCAGCTTCCAGTAACTATACAAATAGAAAAAAAGTGCCAAGTGCTGCTACTGCTGCTGCTACTGCCACTGCTTGTGTTACTTTAAGTGCGCATGTTGGAGCAAAGCGTTTGACATTTCTAGTGTTTGTTGTGTATGGCAAAAGCGCACACACACACACACACACTCCAACACGCACATTTAACGCCATAAATATCTTCGCAAAACGATGAACCGCACATATCCAACATAAGCTTTAAAAGTAGTGCCATAAGTTGGAAGTCTCTTCTAATCTTTTAGGTTTGTGTTTAGCTTCACAACTAAGGAGCAACTGATCTACAAGTGCACTGATCCTATAAATATATGTGTGTTCTCCTATTTAAAATGAAATGAATAGACGTTTCTCTGTCTAGATGTTTCATATGATCATTAGAAACAGGAGGCAAACCAAATTTTCAAACAAAAATTCACGGTTCACGGCGCTTACCTTTTTAAAATGAAATTAATAGACGTTTCTTTGTCTAGATGTTTCAAATGATTATTAGAAAGAGGAGGCAAACCAAAATTCACGGTTCACGACGCTTGTCATAAAAAGCAGGAATTAAAAAAAAAAAACAAAAAAAAAATTTCAAACTGTTGTATTGTGACTAAATCTTCAGGCCGGTTCCGCACCATAATAATAATTTTTAAAAAAAATTAGAAAAAGGTAAAATGTTTCGAAAGGTCTGAGCATACACTATTCGTGCCGTCTTCACCATAGTTTATCCCAATACTGTTAACCACTACTGTTCGCAGAGTGTGCCTCTGGTTGCCATTGCATTAAATGGCACTGGCAACATAGATTGTTGCCTTCGATGAGCTTTCATCGCTGCCTGCGGTGGCTGCTGTTGCTGTTTTTTATTCCATTTACAGTTGCTCTCACCCACGCACAAACACTACGTTTTATACACGTCGTATATTGCTTTATAGAGGCATTGTTGTTGCTGCTCTTATTGTTGTAGCGAAGTTAAGTGTGTCGTAGCAGTAGCAGTAGCAGCAGCAGCAGCAACAACAACAACTACTATGTTGTCGACAGTTGTTCCCACTTGAAATCTGTCAACTGCAACTATTTATTAAATTATATACTCGCATTGTTAAATGTGAATGACTGGCTGTGTGCGCCTTGATTGTATGTTGTTTGCTGATTTTACTCTCCCTTTTCTCCACCCCCCCCCCCCCCCCCCCCCCCCCCCCCCCCATTATCGTTTTCCCTTCTTTCTTCTGCTGTTGCACTTTAAGAATTTGTAGAGTTCTTCTTCCTTGTATTGACAAATTTATCAGTACACATGCGATTCACCGATTATCTCTCTCTCCCTCTCTGTCTTTACAGAAATCACACACACATACACCATGTAATAAACTGGCAAGGACCAGCACCACTTCAAGAATCTGTGCGTCCCTGGTCCTTGTGTGTGTGTGGCATTAGGCAAATCGACAGAAGCTTAAAGCGCTTTAACAGCAAAGACCAGTCAACATCGAGGCTGTCACTGCCGTTGGCAGTAAAAACTCGCACTTGACGAGTCCCATAAACCAAACCAGGAAAATAAAATCAAAAAAAGAGAAGCACATTTTACACAGGAGGTACGAGCAACGCGAACTAACACGACAACATGATGAATGTCGACGAGGAGGAGGAGCGCGTGTGCCTGAGGTGAGTCCATCAGAAAGGGGAGACGACGGGATATCAACGGGTATGGCAGCAACTTGATAAATGTTGGAATGCAGGTTGCCGGTTTAGCAATGGCAGAAACTCGGTTTTTACTTTAAACCCAAGTTTAGCACTGCTTTTGATTTGCTTTCGTTTGATACGCAGGCTCATGAAAATAAACCCAAACCTGCAATGCCATTTAAAAGCAATTTAAGTTTTTGAAGAACATTTTCGAGCGCAACTTTTTCAGTTTTGATGTGAATACACGTGGTTTTGAAAGCACAACAGGAAGTTGACAAGTTATAAATTTTATTTACACCGCTTGTACAAATTGATTATTAACCGGAATATGGCTTCCAGAAGTCATGAGCCCATCCCCCTTATTACACTTCTCTTGCTGCGGGCCATGTCATCGGATCGTTCCTTTATTTTAGCTTCTCCAATAAAATGTTTGTTATATGAAGCATTCATAATTTGAAATCTCAAGTATTCAAGTTTATTTTAAGCCCATGAAAAACTATTGTGTATACTTCTGAAACTATCAGAATATAATATAATATAATAAGACATGCTCACCATGCCTTTAAATTGATGAATGATATTTATTTTCAGCAGCAAATTTAAGTGAAATATTTAAAAATATAAAATACATTACAAAAAATTGTATGGCTATGGCATTACAAATGTAGTGCAACATGGATATATATAAATTTGGTCCTTATTCCTTGCGAAAAGGCAAAATTACAACTTTTATTTTTGATTAGGAAAATAAAACCTAAAGAATAATCATTTTATGAGTTTTATTGTTTTTGCTCAAAAACAATGATTATTGGTTTAGTTGTAAAGTAACATATAATTCAAAATGAATCATTATATTTTAAGAGAATGAATAAAATTTCATATTTTTAAAAGCATTTAGAAGCATTTTAGCTACTATAGGTGAATGATTTTTTCGCTCCCAAAAAAAAAAACCACAATAATCATCATAATCATAATATTAATTATAACGTTAAAAAGGTAGTCATCTTAAGGTTTTAAAAAATTTGCGATACGCATTCAAATTTGATTTTCTTTATACACATTCGCAACTTTGCAACCGAGCCCAATTAGACAGACTTTAAGTCTTTCTTTTACACAATAACAAATTGTTTTATTATACTCGATTGATATGACGAATTTTGTGTTTGAGCCACATATAGAATTTATAAATAAAAATATGCTTGTAGTTCTTAGAACGAGAAATTTTCCTTAATCAAATATTTGTAGCGTTCGATATAAGAATTTCCATATCAATTGTAATCTGTCACAGATCTTGCATTTCTATGTACTTCATTTCAAAATATTTTCAAATCGTGTGTGATTCGTCCACTTCGTTGCAAAACAAATTATACACTTCAGCGGGGTTTCAAAAGCCCTAGAAGAGCTAATAAATTTACATTGAACTGCAATTAATTAACACCCTTACTACATATAAGAGATACCGAACCATCTTCAGCATCAATTGGAATGTTGTTGACCACACAAATCAATTGAAAGCAGAGACTAAGTGTTTTCCTATCACAAAATTGTGTTCAATTTATAAAACCAATGTTTGTTAAGCCTGAGCGCTGAGCCACAAGAAAAACGACTACAGCAACGTTTATGAACAGAAGGCGCAGACACATTTCTGATAAATAACTTGAAATTACACGCATTTAATTACACAGTGACCCAGACGTTGAGACCCCTATGCTAGACTTGCCCCCGATTTCTCACTTTGTTAGCATTTGTCAAGAAATTAAATACAATTGACGCCTAAAGGCAGCAGACGACAAATGGTAGACGACTAGAAAGTCAGCAACTGGGGAGTCAGAAAGGCCGTAAGGCAGGCAAGTGACGGCTTCATTGTTTCTAATGCTACAACAGCTGCTTCATGTTTACAATAATCAATTAAATTATGCCCGCAACAGACTATTTTTCGTCTGTTCCTCTCTCACAACTTCACTTACGAAAGCGCCAGCAACAATGGCGACGGCAACAGAAAGCTTCGCTATTATATATCAATCTCATATTTCAATTATTATAAATGGCTGCGACAACATGACTATGTGTTATTTTTGCTGTAGCTCTTGTTGTTATTATTGTTATTGTTGTCGAAACCAATGGACTCGATGAAGATTTAATGAATAGGCAGACACGCAATGAAGCGATGGCCTGCACTTTGCAGACCTATTATTGTATTTAAAAGCCTTTCAAAGCCAACTTCTGCCTAATTTCGTTGCCAACAACTGTGTTAATAATGATTAACGCTAATCATGAAATACTGTTCAAATATATTTCAAAGTTTAATAAATTGAAATATTTCTAGAAATTTTGTTTCATTTCGGTTTTAATCATCAATTTGCAACTATTTCATAACATTCGAACAAAACAAATGACCGAAATGAAATGTGAACTAAGGCTGCTGGTAATTTTTCATTTTTAAAGTAAAAGTACTGACAAATCGACAACAATTCATAAGTGCCATAAAAGTCACAATTAATTCTTTTTTACTAATTTGTGTCGTATTTTGTGGCTGCGAGTTGATGAAAAAGAAAAGACACTGAGTTGTCAATCATTAAAATGTTCATTGATTGATTTAGTTTTAAATTCTTGTAGCGATAATTTTTCTTATAAGTAGATTGAGATGCAAGTACAAGTTTTCAAAAACCAAAATATAATCAAACTAAGACATAATTAAAAAAATAAAATATAATAGAATAGAAAAAAATAGAACAGAAAGTTGAATTAATATACTTTTTTCATAATTTGTTTGTTTTTGAATATTTTGTAAATTATCATCAACAGCGAGCTTGTATGTACGCTCACCTAACTAAAAAGAAGCCTAATTAACTTCTCTTTTTTTTTTGAGTTACTTTTCTTCATAAGAAGTGCATTATCTGTAAGCGACTACATACTCTCCATTAAAGCGCAAATTTAACTTAAATGCTCAGATATTACACAGAATAACTGACGACGGGTGCGCTATTTGATTGATGAGCTTTTAAATGTTTAATGACATTGCTTGGGTCATCTGCTTTGCAATGGCTAATGAGAATGCAATTAAATGCAATTGCTTTGGAATTGTGGCAATTTTCAGTAAGAGAAGGAGGGGAGCAACTAAAAGTATGCTACACTTTTTTAACCTTTTCATAATTGCATGGGAAATTGCGCATACGCCATGATGTTCAGAAACGTAAGGCAATTTCCAGTCCACTTTCACTTCCACTTCCACGCCTATTTTATTTTATTCGTTGCTGTTGTTGTTGATGTAGGTGCTGTAACTTTCTATAATTTACCCGTAAAGGCTGACGCCCACAAATTACGCGCAACTCTTGCGCATTTAGTTGCCTTATCAAATTATGAAATTTTAATTACATAATAACGCACAGACAATCAACTCGCCTTTCCAATTCAATGCACATTCTGAAACGAGCTTTACAGACAGTTTGCAGGCTTAGGGGCTGTGGCAATGGCTTAAAGGTTCCGTGGGCAGACGCTGGTATTGGACGCAATTACTCTGAACAATTTGGTGTGTGATATTGAGACGGCAAATTGCATTCTGAGGTTTCAATGAGAACAGACTTGGTTGATGTGGTTGAAGCAGAATCTATTCTGTGCTCGCTCGGTAGATGTAGTTCAGTTTAAATACTTTGCCTTCAAAGGAGTTGTAATAAGCCTCCAGATATTTAATTTAATGCATTCCTATTAAATAATTTAACTACATACAACTTGTATACTTGTATATTCTGCTAACGATTAACCTTTAAATATTATATTTATTTCACTTACGGCTTATAGCTATATCAGATTATATGAGAATGAATTACTGAAGTGTTTAGTTGATATTTTTTGGCTCTAATAGAATTCGTTGTTGGTTGTATATAATTTCATTTCATATTAATTTTTGCATTAAAAGGCTTGTGCATTCTATGAACGAGAGATTCTGTTGCTTAAATAATTGATTTATTATTTCAGTGAAATGCGTAAATATGTGCTGGCTTATCTGTCCGATTTCGGCATTTGATAGGTCCATTTATTACATAAAATTGTTACAGTTTTTCTCTTAATTGCTTTTTGTGAGATTTCCAACAATGTATTTCAATATTGAATTCTACTAAAATTAGTATAATTACTTTAATCAACTAATTTTAATTTTAAAAAATGTCAAATATTTGTCTCCGATGAAAAGAAGTTTTACTTTACTTTAAGTATTATTTAAATGCTTAGTTGTAAAATTGTCTCGGCAGATTTTAAACTACGATTAAAAATCACGGACAATTTTGTGTTTTTTAAATATTTTCTTAAGCGTGTTTTTATGAGGCTCGATTACTTAACTTTGGCAACTGCTAAGCGAGCTAGAACAACAAGCAAAGCAACAATAACAATAACAATAGGGAAGAGGAACAATAGCAACAACAATAATGAACGAAAGCACAAAATGTCACTTTAATTTTATGTAAATTCCTTTTTCTATGCAAATTTTGTGCAAAAACACAAAACATCTCAACAACAACAACAACAATAAAGAAAACGCGTGTGGCAAAAAACAACGTCAAAGCGATGTCAAGGAGTGGAAATTCTATGAGCCAAGCAGACGAGCAGATAATGAAGTCAGAACAGAACCAAAGCGAAGTATTCTGTAGTCTGCGACACAGGTTTTGCAGTCCATAAAAGTGAGTTTTAATAGCACAAAGGACAGAGGCTGGTTGCCAAGGGGAGGAAGATTGAGAAAAAGGACAGGTCAGAGCAGGTCAAAGCAATGCAACAGCGACTGGGCAAGCTGCCATGCCACATTAACTTCAACTAACTGACTTTTTAACGGCTGTTAGCGCCCAAAACTTTTACCTTGCCAAACTTTAGCTGCAGTCCAAATGCCAGTCCCAGTCACGGGCCGTGCAGAACAACAGAAACTAATTACAAAGACACACACAGACACAAATGCATGCAAAGGCAGACGATGTCTATTCATATGGGTAGGTAGT